CCTTTTCTGTACCAAAACTTTGCTTCAGAATTACTATGTCTGATTTCTATACTATACAAGATGAAGAACACACTGATCCCATTACAATTTCAGACTTTAATAGAAAAACTTACAATAATTTTTTTAAAAAAATGTATTTAGTACAGGTTCTATAGGGTCTCACTATACAGATCAGACTCATAGCAATCTTCCTGTTTTCTGCCTTCCAAGCACTGGGATTACAGGCACACACCACCATGCCCAGTCTCAATCATTGTCTCAGTGAGCCCTAGGGGGTGGGGCCAGGCAAGCATGCCAGGAATTGAACCCCAGTCCCTGCATCTGCTTAAGCAGTCATTTTAATCTACTGAGATATCTGTCTGGCCTACCTTAATGTTTTTTGAAAATGGAAAACTAAGTCTTAAGATGAATGAAAAATAGTAAGATCTAGCCAGCCAAATAGTTCAGCAGATCAAAGCATCTAAAAACAGGTGCAGGGGCTGGGGGTTCTATCCCTGGGGCCTGCCATGCCACGCCTTCCCTCCCCCCCCCATGCGCTGAGACAGCAGTTGAGATTGGGCATGGTGGCATGTGCCTGTAATCCCAGCTTTTGGAAGGCTGTCAACAGGTGCACCACTATGAGTCTGATCTAATAGTGAGACCCTGAATACCCTGTAGACCCTTCCCTAAAAATAAAGAAAAAGGAAAATGAAAACTAATAAGATCATTAAAATATATTTGTATAGTAAGATACAAATTTGAACTAGAGAAGGACAGATAAATACAATTCTCTGCAAATTAGGATTAAAATATTTCGGAGACTTCTAGGCCTGGCAATGTACACCTATAATCCCGGGAGTCTGAGGTCAGAAGACTGCAAATTTGAGCCCAGGCAACATATTGACTTACTGAAATCTTATCACAAAAAATAAAAAGGGGTGAGGATTAGCTTAGCAAAGCCCCTTCCACTCCAATACACACCACAATCAGTAGCTGAAAAAAACTAGAATTTCATAGTGAACAATAAAATGTTCATTATAAATTATAGGTTATAATTGCAACCATAAGCTAATCCTTAGACAAAGAATGAATCAATTCTCATTCCTTTCTTCCATCCTTGTCTTCTATATTCCCTGCTTCTGTCTCTCCTTCTTTCTGACTTTCTTTCCAGTGCTGAGAATTGAATTTAGGACCTCAAACATTCTACTACTGAGCTACATCCCCAGTCCCAACACTTCTTTTGCTCCCAGTTTTCTTGGGCAATTACAATAATAGCCTTCACTTCAGTCTGACTTTTATAATAAGGTACAGAGGATTCATTGTTGCAAAAATAATTCAGGGCTTTGTCAATTTTGAACTTTACTTCTCTTAACTTTTTAATATTGAAATTACTTTTTTAAAAAAATTGCCCAAACTAAGAATTTTCAAGATAATGATGATGAAGACTGGACAGGTAGGGACAAAAATCAGGTAATCAGGAAGAGATGTTTAGGTAGAGGCCAACTGTGAGCCTGTGGTGGTTGGTTTTTTTAAGGAATATATATATATATATTTTTTTTTTCCTTAAAGCTTACTATTCAGCTGTAGAGCCACTGGAACTCTCATAACAAAGATTCTGCCCCCTTACCTCACCCACTATGTGCTTCCCATTGATGAACGCCTCAAAGCCACACACGGCTGCCTTGTCATCCAAAGGAAAGACGTATTTTGCCTCAATGGGCACATGGCTTTGATTTGTATAGGTCTGAAACACTACAACCTGAAGAACAACAAAAAGAGAATCCATATACTTGAATAAACCACACAGAACAATATTTGTAGGAACAACAAACAATGAAAAAATACATGTTCATCTTAGAGTCATTGAATTTTTTTTCTCTTCTATTTTGTACTTTGTATATACTGAGTTTTTCACCTAAGAGAAATCACTAAATATTTAAGTTTGTGTATCTGCTACTTCACTTAGCATTATAGTCTCAAAGTGCATCCATCTTCCTACTCAAGATGGAATGACTCAAGCTTATGCTTCTTTAAGGCAGACTAGTACTCCATTATGATTCTTGAAATTTTATCACAGTCCTCAAATTTCTACACCTAGCTTCAGAGGCACTCTAACATTCCAAAGATAGTTCGTGCCAAATGACAAAATGACAGTGACATATATATTCAGGTGTTCATATATTTCTACTAGAAATGCTGACCTCGTAGAAGCAACATAGCTCTTATTAAGATGGCTGGGAAAAAAAGAAAAAAAAAACCTTTCCATGTTGTGGACTTTTTTTGGTGGACTGTGCCCAGAACATGGGGTATGCTAGACAAGTACTCTAACACTGAGCTATATCACCAGTCTTCTTGTCCTTTTCTTATTTTTATTTTGAGATAAGTGTCTGTTAAGTTTCTCAGGGAAGCCTCAAACTTGTGATTTAATCTTCCACAGTGCTGGTGTTGCATCTGTACTGAACACTTATGAGTTAATTTTTCTTTGCCATATTATTCTCTAAACAAACATTATAATATGCATATTTTATTTAGTTCATGTAACTGTAATCAAATTCTCATTTCTGATTTATATCTAAACTAGTCAGGTATCATAAAAGCACAGAAAACATACCTGGGCTACAAAGTCTATTATTCTCCCCTTGATGTGAACACTCTTAAGAGGAACCAAGTTTCCAGAAGCATCCTGAAGACCAGCCTTGACACTGCTGGAAGGCTTGAGGTCTGGTATCTGGTAATCTACATAAAACAAATGTCAGTATTAGCCTTTAAAACTATCCCTGCTCTATCAATTTTTGTTCTCTTGACCTTTATTTCTGCATATATTACCTTTTGGGAAAAAATGAACAAGTAACACATTATTATTTTCAATAGCTTATTCTGAAAAAATGAATGACTCCATATGAGAAAAATGAGGTGTACTCTCAAAGCATTTCTGCATTTTTATTTTTTAATTTTATTCATTTGTTTTGAAGTACTGGGGACCAAACATAGAATGCAACATAACTAAGGGCTCTACCATAGACCTCTACTCCTAGGTCCCTTCTGCCTTTTCTAAACAAGACTTTGAAGTGTCATTTCAAAAACATGAAATGATGCTATTACTTGAAGATTTACACTTCAACATACATACACATACACAGAGGCCTTAGATTATCTCAATAAGCATAGCTAAACCATGAACCTACTTGCATCCCGTTGTCATGCTGAGCTGGTCAGTCACAGACACAATGATTTATTGTGCCACAGAAGCATTCTGGAGCAATATGAAAATATCTAGATGTTTCTATCCAACAAGACTAAATCAAACTCCTACCACCACGTACAGGAAAATGTTCACATCATACACCAACCACTATAAAAATTAAACATGGAGATACCTATATCTATATGTCATTTACATCTAAATTTCTGGTCTTGTTGCATATTTAATTTAATGAAAGAGGAAAAGATTTTAAGTCAACGCTTCTTGAATATATACATTTCTCCATGTGTGTATGTGTGTACCCATGTATACATGCATACATGTGTTTAACCAAAGTTGAACCTGAGGACTTTGCACTGAGTTATATCCCTAGTCCTTTTTATTTTTATGATAAACAAAAATCTCACCACATCATTAAGTTGTCCTGAATGGGTTCAAACTTCTATTTCTCTTGGTTCAACCTCCCACAATTGAAATTACAGAAATATACTACCAAGCCTAGTTAATAATACACTTCTGATTAAAAAAAATGGGTATATAACTCAGTGATAGAGTGCCTACCTAGCATGTTTGCAAGCCCCATATCCAATCCCTGCCACTAAATAAGTAAATAAATAAGTAAAATAATTTAACCATAGACAAAAAGCGGAAGAACACAGAGATAAGGAAGGGGCCAGGGCCTGGGATGGGGATGAAGCAGCTTGTCTTGGTTTGGTTTGGAGACAGGGATTTGTTGTTTCCCGGGTTGGTCTTTAATTCCTGGGCTCAAGAGATTGTCCTACTACAGCCTGCTGAATGGCTGGGACAGGCAGCACACTTCACCACAGCCAGTCTGTTAACATGTTTCTCAGTCCTATTAAGCATATTACAATAGCTTGGGCTCATGAATCTATGAGAAGCTCTGATGCTCTTATGTAACTGTACTTCTAATGATATATAACTGGCTCATCACAGTCCATGTTGGACTTTCACTCTTCCTCTTCATTCTTACATCACAAAGATACCATTTTCATTCCCACCTGAGGGAAGCTGGAATGTAGACAGCTCACAAGATTTATCTACAACAATTTTATCCATTTGCACAGCCTAGTAAGCAATAGAGCTGACATTTAAATCAAGCTTCCTGGTTCTAAAGCCGTGTTCTTTCTCTTCTATTCATCTCAATTATATTTTTTGCACTTTTGATATCTTAAAATTGCTTCACGGGTGCTATGCTTCAGAAGTAGTTTGGCCCTCAAAGGTCCATGTGCTGAAAACTTGGTCCTCAATGCAGTGCTGCGTAGGGTGGTGGGGCCTTGAAGAGGAGGAGCTTTCCTGCAGGGCCCTCTCTCCCTACCTTACCCTCCATCTGCCAAAATCTGTACGCTACACATACCTGTTTCCAGTAACATACCTGGCCTCAGGAATTTCATTATAGTAACAAAAACCAGACAAATACAGCAGATTTTAATACTGTTTATTCCTGAGAGGCAACATGTTCAATGTAGGGATACTGAATGAAAGAATATGCAATTTTGAAATCACTTACCCTTTCTCAAGCAACCTGGTATTCATGTATATAAAAGATAATGAAATATTTATATGAGAGATTATAGATATTATCAGACATGAATGTAAATTCCACTGAAAATGTTTCACTTCTATTTTATGAATATTATCACCAATAAAAAATAGCATTCCAGAAAACTGTCTTACCTTCAACCATTAAGGTATTTGAAAACTCAGGTTTGTATTCCTCTAATTTACTATTATCATGAGGATGAAAGTCCTTTATTTGATCTCCAGGCATGCAAAATTTAATAATATATTTCACTTTAACCTGATTGGTTTTATACACAACAAATTCATCATCCTAGAACAAATAAAAATTAAAAGACAATAAAAACAACAGACCTTCATTAGTAAGTGATCTCAAAAAAAGTAGAATTCACATTTACTAATCTAGAAAACCTGAATCTAGGCAGTAAATATATACAATAATAATTTAAATGAAAGCATGACTAATAAAAATAGGCCATTCTTTGGACATTCAGATGTCTGTTTGCCTATTTTTTTTGTTGTTTTAGTCTGTTTTTCTGTCTGTGATACTGAGGACTGAACCCAAGGCATTAATCGTGCTAGGCAAGTACTCTTCCACTGACCTACACCTATTTCCTTTTCTTTTGAAAAATTTTTTATTGATTTATTTGGTACAGGGTCTCACTATGCAGCTTGAACTGCAGTGATCCTCCCGTCTCAGCTTCCCCAGTGCTGGGATTACAGTGTGTGCCACCACGCCCAGCACACCTGGCACCAACCCAGGTCCTTGCACTTGCCAGGCAGATACTTAGACCACTGAGCTATCTTTCCAGCACCCTGCCCACTTCCTGACATAAAAATACCTCAAAGTCTGTAGGGACAGAGGCTGTTGCTGAAACTCCATGTACACTGTCATAGCCCAGCGGAGCTTCAGTTAAGGAAAAATCCTTCTTGAATAGGTCCACACATCTTCCAAGGGCCACATCACAGATGACCAGGAGTCTCGAGCCATCTGTCTCTCCTGGCTGTGAATACTTAACACTTGTACTGCATGTGACAGGAAATAAGCATATATTCATGATTTATAGGTATATGTCAGTACATGTTATTAAGTAAATAGAAAATGCAGGGTGAGTATATCCGATCCAAAAATATGAACCCAAGATCGGAAATGCTACAAAAGATTTTTTAGCACCAACAGGATGACACAAATGGAAAACTGCACACCTTATCTCATTTGATGAGTTGTAGTCAAAATGCAAATATAATGAAATTAGTGTATAAAATCACCGTTAGACTAGATGCAGAAAGTGTGTAGAAAACATAAATGGATTCCATATTTAGACTTGAAATCCTACTCCCAAGATAGTTCATTATGCAAATACAGATATCCCTAGATCTGAAAAAATCCAAAAGCTCAACATTTTTTTTCTGGTTCCAAGCATTTCAGACAAGGCATAGCCAACCTACAATGGTGAAAAAAAAAGTTTTCCTAGTAAACCAGTCTAAATTTTATTGCTACTAAAATATCCCCAAATATTCAAGTTAGAACTCCATTATGGAGTTAATTGATGAAACTGTTTGCAGTGCTAGGGATTGAACCCAGAGCCTTACATATGGCAGGCATGCACTCTACCATGGACAAACATAGTCATGTTTAAAAGTTTTAATATAAAGCTGCTTGTGCTGGCAGCCGCCTGTAATACCAGCATTCAGGAAGCTAAAAAAGGAGGATTACCACAAATCTGAAACCAGCCTGGGATATACAGTTCAAGGTTAGCCTGAACTCTCTCAAAAGAAACCAATAAAGTAATTAATTAACCAATTAATTTTACAGCAATGAAGTAATTAAGTTGACTACATCTAGAGAATGGGAGTATTAGACTTTAGACTTCTCTATTTTAAAATGATTCTCAAATGAGAGATTTTTCTTTCCTTTTCTTTGGGGAATCAGCAACTTTAATAAAGTGTATCTTGCTGTTAGGAGCACAGGTCAGGGGCACCACTTTTTGAACACACCTTTACATTTTTTAAAGGTCAAGTCCAAAGTGTATATCCCAGCTTTGCCAGGAGGATCTTTATTTGTTCCACACCCTAAGAATTAAGCTTTTTAGAAAAAGAACCAGTTTCCCAATTTCTTCTGTTCATTTCCTCCCTTCTGTGAGCACTTCTTCTGGAACTTAGAAACACACTGAATGCTCCCAACCAAACCCAGCCTTGGATTTGCCCTCTCACCTTCATCTTCCTTACCACTCCTTCACACAGGAGTCCAGTGCCCACTTACTGACTGCTAATCAATCCACTATAATTTGCTCTGTTTAAATTTTTTTTGAAAAACAAAGAAAAGGAACAGAAAATTGACTGTATCTGGTGGATGGGAGCATATTTCTCTCTTCAGACGTCCTCACTGAAGCCACTCTGTGACAGTCCTTCAGGACTTCAGCTTCATTAGAATTATCTGAATTCCCACAAAAATACGGTTGCATCTAAAAATTTTACGTTGTACTATTTTGCACATAGGAATGTACAAAATAGGTGTTTAAAGAATAATAATAATGAAAACAACTCCATAATCAAGCACTTAGTTCACAGAGTGGGAGGAGTTTATATGCTGCCAATGCAAGGATGCTGGCTCTGGAGAAAAACTAGCTGCAAAGGTCCACCTTGTTCTGCATCCTCTTTATCTTTTTGGTTTGTTGAGATAGGGTCTCACTATGTAGTTCGGGCTGGCCTTGAACTCACTATGTAGGCTGGCTTCAAACTCATGGCAATCCTCCTGCCTCATTCTCTTGAGTGCTGGGATTATAGGCATGTACCGCTATGCCTGGCTTTACATTCCATTTTAGCTGTACCTTCTGAGGCAAAATCCTCTGTTATTCCCATTTGGAATACTGGGCTAATAAGAGGACATACTTCACGGCATTGTAAAGATGGAGTGAGTAAGTATATGTAACCCTTCTGAGGAGAGTATAATGACTAAGATGATTTCAAACATAATTTCCCCAAACATGCACCATAAAAGATGCTTCCTTCTATGGTATACTGAGAAAACTGGCTCCAATTATGATCAACATCATGGGTGAAAAGCCCCTTCACCAAAAAGAGATGAAGGAAAATATACAACAGATTTAGTAGTGATTCTGGGAGATGGACATGAATAACTGATGTAAGAGACAGCATACTAACCTAAGTGAGTCACTGAAATAAATGCCACTCCCCAGATTTCCAATATCTGTTCTTTGTATGCCACGGTCTTCAACTACTTTGGGCAAAAGCAACCCTCTGAAAAGAAAAGAGCATTATAAACATCTGCCAGAAAAAGGAACCTTTTATTACAGCTTCACAATTCTAGTAGGACAGATGCTAACTTAAAAGCATGACATACATAACTTTAAGAATATGTGTCAAAGTACAGATGGCTTTTTGTACCTGTGGGTCCATTTCCAGAGTCAGAGGTTGGAAATATTTGGGAAAAATTAATTTTGTCTCTACTGTACATATACAGACTTTTTGCTAGTCGTTATTCCCTAAACAACATGGCATAACAGCTATCCCTGTGACATTTATACTCATTATAAAATATATTATTATATAAAATAACTATTTCATGGTAAAAAGGCATTATAAGTCATCTAGAAGTAATCTAAATATGTTAGAGTGATTACATAGGTTCTATACCATCTTATATAATACCCTCCAGCATGGGAAGATTTTGGCAAGAGGGTGCTGGAAACAATTCCCTGGGCATACCAGGAATTACTGCAATCCCCCAGTGGAGCACTGTGTGCCCATGAAACACCAGTGGCCATGGCTGGCTTTTCATCATGGCTAGCTCTGCCTCCTTGGGATAAGGCCCAATGTAAGTCCCATGTGGACTAAATCTGCCCCTCACTCAGGACCTTGTGCAGGTTTCTGATAAGCTTATAGCATTCAGAGGGCTCTTTACAGCCCCAGGGAAACCACAATTATTCCTGGAAAGACAGATGAAGGGGGACTAGCTTATTTTATGATACAAATATCTATTGTTCATTTGTTTTTGAGACTGAGTTTCATCATATAGCCCAGACTGACCTTGAACTGCTTATACTGCCCAAGCTGGCCTTGAATTCATGAACTACATGCCCTGGCCTCCATAGTGTTGGGGCTACAGATGTGTACCACCATGCCTGGCTATGAACATATATTGTTTGAATTTTATGTTAAGAGGTTTCTGATTTTTAGTTTTTCATTTTTGCAGTAATGGGAATTGAACAAAGGGTCATGAGAATCATCCTCATCTCTTTTCATATTTAAATTTTGACACAAGGTCTCACTAAGTTGCTAGGTTTTCCAGTCTGAACTGCATAGTAAAACCTTGTATAAAAAGACAAAATAAAGTTTAAAAAGAACAAATACAGTCAAATGGGGAATTTTTTCTTTAATAATGACTTTGTTTAATAATTTTTGAAGTATTCCACTACAAAAATTCTAATGGATTCAAATATAATGCAATAATTTTTAGATACACTAAGAATAAATTATTTTCTAAAATAAATACATAACTTAGATTATATATTTAATGATGAAATATATAATTTTCTCTAGAACACACTAAATTATCTGCTTTTAATTGAAAAGATCCATGTCCTTTTTTTATCCATACATATCTACAGTAATACATTTTACAGTCACCTTGTAGAGTTGGTAGATGTACAAAATACAATGTTTCTTTTTTTTAATTCCCTGAACTACCTACTCCATCCTTCCACCTCTACTCCCTCCTGTCCTCTTTTTCATTCTTGTTGATATTATTAATCTTAGTTTATGTTTCAAGCATATAATATCCACATTCACCAAGTTCATTAGGACCTTGTTATACTTTGCCATACTCAAATGAGACACACTATATAGAATTTGTGTGTTGACTTATTTGACTCAACGTTATATTTTCCACATGCATCCATTTTCCTACAAATGTCTAATATTTGTCCTTCTTTATAGCTCAGAAATATTCCATTATGTATAGGTACCACATGTTCTTTATTGAATCATCTGTTGATGGCTATACAGACTGTTTCCAGGATTTAGCTATTATGAATTGTATTTGCTAAAAGCATGTTATGCATGTTATCACTGTAGTATGATGTCTTAAACTCTTTGGGGAAGATCTAAAGAAGGGGGAAGATGGATCATATAGAATTTCTAGTTTTAGTTCTTTGAGAAATCTTCATACTGATTTGTATAATGGTTTTAGCAGTTTATATTACCATCGACAACCTAGGTGAGCTCCTATTTCAACATAGTCACATTAGCATTTGTTATATGATCTATATAGTTTAGATCAAAGGCATCTCACACTTAAGCTTGAAAATTTAGAAAGATGAAGAGGCAACATGCTTACCGGGACAAGATTCCTACAATGTTTCGTACAGGAGATCCATGCAGCAAGGACCTCACATTGCCAAGAGTGCTCAAAAACTCTGTGGCTTCATTCACTCTGCCAATACTAAATATCTGCAAGATGTCTACTGGAGTTTCACTGTAAGAATTAGAAGAAAAACTTTGAAATTACATAATTAGAAGCAAAACAAACAAACAAATCAGTATTTACTATGAAACTCCAAAACCTGAAATGCTCATTGTCTGGGAACCCATTCAATGAATCACAATAAAATGTATCTTAACAATGCTATACAGGCATTAAAAATCACATTAGTATAAAACATATGGATAAGACATAAAATTTACTGTAAAATAACTTTTTTCTCTAAAATAAAATATTTTCTTGAGCTCTTATAAATGACTGCCAGAAAAGGAAAGGATCAGGTCCTAGGACAAGTTCCTATGACTACCAGCAACAGGGTAAGGTAGCAGTTGGAAAAATGTCTCTATTATAAAATATAAAAGTCTGGGGCTGGAGAGATGGCTC